GAGTGTGAGCAGGGGAGGGGCAGAGAGAGAAGGAGCCACAGAATTCGAGAATTCGAGCTGTCAGCAGAGCCTGATTCGGGGCTCAAACCCACGAACCGAGAGATCATGACCTGAGCTGAAGTCGGACGCTTAACCAGCTGAGCCACCCAGGTGCCCCTATCCTTATCTATTCTTAAACACTTGTTGGAGGTCAGGACAAAAGCATTGATACATGCTTCAACAGGTTCTTCAAGGGATTCAAATTGACACCAGATTGAGAAGAACCACGGTTCATCCTGAGCAATCTCACTTTCCCGATATTTTCAACTCCCCGCCCTGTGGTACAATGATGTACTTAACTCTCTACCTCAGGCTCAGCACAGATCTTTCTTTTGAGATCCAGACTGAATCTGGTTCTAAAATCTGGCTGCCCATTAGAAGCACCTGAAAAACTTTCAAATCTACACATTATTATTGTCAGGCCTCTCTCCCACATTCTGATTTAGTAGACCCAAACTAGGAAACTACATCAAATTAAAAAGTAACAAGCTGGCACATAGTAGGTGTTCACTGAATGGCTGCTAGGATTATAAAACATCCCAACAGTGACAACTCAATTCCTTTCCTAGTTTAACTGGTCAGACGAGTTTTGAGAATCATGAGCACAGACCAGCCCCCATCTTCTCTTAGCTAATATCATCAGTCATCCAAGACAGAAATCTAGCAATCATCTTAGATGCTTCTCACATCTCACTAGCTGAACTTTTTTGGTCAGTTTTTGTTTTCCTGTAACTTGCTAACTGGCTCACTATATCTCCTGTATCTAGAACAATATTAGGGACATAATAAAATTTTATTGAATGAACCCACCAACTAAGCATTTTAATGTCCTACGTTAAAAAGCCCTCTAAAATGATTTCCTCCCCAATTCCAATGAGTGCTTTAAATTCTCCATAAGGGTAAATTTGAGTAAAAAGAGGACAAAGGAAAAGGATTGAAGAGCGAGTATAAAATACAAAATAGCCAGCACAGAGGAAATATAGTTAAAAAGTGAGGTCTTGGAGTTCAAGACTTCAGAGATACAGCACTTACTGTAATTTTCTACATGTCTGTCTCTCCCGCACTGAGTAGTGCCAGCCTGGAGTAGCTGAAAGCAGGCCTTGAAACTGGACAGATTTGGTTCGAACCCCGTCTCTGTCATTCACTAGCTGCAAGGCTCTGAGCATGTGATTTATTTGAGTTTGTTTCCTCATCTGTAAAATGAGGATAACAATCGTCTCTACCTCGTAAGAATGTCATAAATCCAAAAAAGCATCCGTGCAATGTGCCCGGTACGTAACACACCAGACAGAAGCTAGTATAATTATTACACCCAATTCTCCGATTCTCCGCCTCTAAACCTCAGGAACCTACCCCAGGATCCCCTAACGTTCCCAGACCACACCCCTCAGATATTCTCTTGGCCCCGCCCCCTCCGGAGCCTACCAGGCCCTCCCAGCCCACCCGAACCCGGGTGGCAGTACCTGACCCATATCGCACGTCGTGTGAGTGCAGTCGCACGTTATGGCGCGTATTGAGTAGCTTCACTACAGAGCCGCATGTAACGACAGCCAGATTGGACGCTCCCACAGCACTCCACAAACCGCCCAACAACAGTAGCGGCACCACGGCCATCCTAGCTATAGCGCAGAAACCCTAATCTTCGAAGAAAAATTAGGCCCCTCCCCGGAAGCGGAAGCTGCAGGCGGAACCACAGAGAGGAGGAAACGGAGACGCCCTAGTCTAGTCTTTATGGTTCCTTTGGCTAGAGCGGCCTGAGGAAGAAGCCAGGCCTGACGTTTTCGATCCCCAAGCTCTGTTCCCAAGTCTCTGCGACACTTTCTTCCTGAGCCACTTCTGCCAGTTTTCGCGCCCTCCCAAACGAAGCCTCGAGAGCCGGGTGAGAGGAGAGAGCAAGAAATGGCCCGCCCACTCCCGGTGACAGGGAGCCGGAAGTGACGTAGCACGTTGACGCAGCAGCGGCGGCGGTGGCGGCGGAGGGGCCGTGCGGTGGGTCCGTAGTATCTTTTCCCAGTCTCGGTTCGACGACTCCATTTTCGTCGGTGGGGGCTTAGCGCACCGGAGTAGCGGCGGGCTTCAGGCAGGTAAAGTTCGGACTGGAAAGCGTGTTCCTCGAATGGGGCAGGTGAGAGGAACTAGGCTCCTAGGGCCTGGTCCCGTAAGGGAAGAGGTATTGGGGAGCCGTATGCGGGAAGAAGGGGGGCCCCCGGCCTTCACTGCTCTATGAAGGAAAAGGAGGAGGAAACCGGAGTAGTTGCCTAGAGTCTCAGCGCTTTTCCCAACCCTGTGCTACCCGGAACCGATGAATTGGTCGCCTTGTTGTATCAACAGGCTTCCCGGGATTCCGTCCTTCTCTCGCAGCTTGTGAAAATTGGGCCACGCCAAAAGATTGGGAATGGAAGGGACTTAAGGCTTCTGAGTCAGGATCAGGTGATCGAATTTATTGTTCTGGAGATGTTAAACCTACGGAGCTTTCAGCAGCTCGACCATCAAGTTAGAGGGTGATGCCAAATGGTATTTTTTTCCGATTGTTGAAAATAAAATTAGAACTTTTTATATAGATGCCTGCATTCATCAACCGCCTACCCCAAACATCAGAATGAGCTATTAAGTGAAAACTTCATTTTCTTCCATTTTCTGCCTTTCTCCCCAGGCAGTACCTTGAACCAGCAGGAGCAGTTCTTTTTCTAGGTTGTTTGAAGAAGTGATACTTACCTTTATTTAAGAGGAGGCCTAAACTCTCTGAAAATGCGTCCGTGGAAATTCACTGTAATATCAGAAGTAGCAAGGGAGTATTAAGTTACACCGCTGCTATTAATGAACATGGAGAATGTACACAGTCTTGAATTTGATTAATTTATTCGGGGGAAAAAAGCCTACCTGCACTATTTATCTGGATGTTACCGGTTTTAAAGTCTTCAGTGTATTCATTGCAAAAGTATGATTACTCCCTTATCAGCCGAATTTAGAGCCTTTTCCATCACTAGTGTTCCTTCAGCCAATACAAATATATTCTTTCAATCTTGTATGACTACTAGATTAGATTAGCATAGTATTGTTACTCTAAGAGGTTTAAACCTCATTAAGAGATTAATCACATCTGGAAGTGGTGCAGTCTAGAGAGGCTCGGGCATGTTTCACGGTTCTTTCTCAATAGATCTTCACAAGAAAAGAAGCCTACCCAGTATAGTGGAAACAAATGGTCTTTGGAGGCAAGTAAATTTGCCCTTGATCCTGTGCTCTTGGTCTCAATAAATGGTGCCATGGTCAGAATCCTGTGTAAAATCCTTGGATTTTTCCTATTACTCCTGGATAAAATTAGTCACCCAATCCTACCAAACCTGCTCCCATCACATACACATTCTGCTCTGGTATCCCGCTTATCCCCCTCCAACTACCATCCTAGTTTTTTATTTCCCTTCATAGCCAGATTTCTACCTGTATCAGCTTTCTTGAATTTTATTCATTCTTCAGGCTATACTAGTTTGGCTTCTCTTCTGACCATTTGGTTGAAATTTCTGTCAAGGTTACCAGTGTTCTCTGTATTGCTGGATCTCATGGATACTTTGTTCTCGTCTTCCTCAATCCCTGGAATATGCAACACAGTTTACTCCTGGATTGTCTCCATTTCTCTGGTTGCTCCTTCTCAGTCTCCTTTCCTAGCCACTTTTGCTTTCTGCCTACTGTCTAAATGTTGAATTTCCTTCAGAGTTTAATCCTGGATTCTCTGCATGCGTCCTTTAGATGATCCAGTCTCATATCTTTAATAACCATCTGAAAGCTGGCAACTCTCAAGTTCAAACCCCTAGCTCAGCCTTCTCTGTGTTCAAGAATCGTACACAGAGGGGCGCCTGGGTGGCGCAGTCGGTTGAGCGTCCGACTTCAGCCAGGTCACGATCTCGCGGTCCGTGAGTTCGAGCCCCGCGTCGGGCTCTGGGCTGATGGCTCAGAGCCTGGAGCCTGTTTCTGATTCTGTGTCTCCCTCTCTCTCTGCCCCTCGCCCGTTCATGCTCTGTCTCTCTCTGTCCCAAAAATAAAATAAACGTTGAAAAAAAAATTAAAAAAAAAAAAAGAATCGTACACAGAATTCCTGTTTAATAGCTCCATTTGGATGTCTCTTAGACATCCCTAATCTAACATAACAAAAAGAACGTTGTAGTTTTCCCATCATTCCAAACCTTGTCTTCCCTCTCTCTCTCTCTGTTAACTCTCATCCACAGGGTTACCAAAGCCAGACCTCTGAGAGTTATCTTGTTGTTGTTGTTGTTGTTGTTGTTTTTCCTTACCACTCTCCTCCCCCAAGTCTTTCAGTAAGGCCTGTCACTTCTACTTCCAAAGTATATTTCCAATCTATCTTAGGTTCTCCATCTCTACTTCTACCACCCTCTTCCAAGCCACTATCGTCTTTTGCATGGGCTCCAACAATAGTATCCTCATTTTCCCTGGTTCCACTCGGATACCCCTGCTGTCCATTTTCCACATAGCAGGTCAAGTCTGTTTAAAACACTCCAGTGGTTTTCCTTGGCCTTCATAGCCCCACTTGTGCAGCCCCTCAACTCCCTTCCGTTCTGCTGCCTTCACCATTCTCTGGTCACACTGGCCTTAGGACATGCCAAGTTCTTGCCCACCTTTTCTACCAGGAACCTCTTCCCCTGGCTCTTCATACCACATCCTACCCATTCTTGACATCTCAGCCTAACCTCACCCTCTCAGAGGTGAGAGTATTTCCTTCCTAGTACTTACAAAGAGGCTTATTTTGTTTGCAGTTTGTCTCTTACACCAGAATACAGATATCCTAGGGGCAAGGACTTTGTTTTGCACATGCCTGACATGTAGTAGGCACCCATCAAATGAATCTTTGTTGAGTTAGTAAATTAAGTCAATTCTGTTTAAAACCCTCCAGGGACTTCCCGGCACCTTTTAGAGTCCAAACTTATCCTGTCAAGGCCCTTATGACTATACTCCCAATTCATTATGAACCCTTCTCCATCTCTGCAGTCAAACTGGCCTTCACTGTCCCTGCCACAGCACATTCTGGGCCTTGTGCTGGAAGTGCCCTTCTCCATCATCACCACTTACACCAAAGAAGCCAGCTCCTCCCTTTGCTAACTCCTCCATACTCTTAAGGTGTTTATTCAAAGTCATTTCCTCTAGGGGCACCTGGGTGGTTCAGTCAGTTAAGTGTCTGACTTCAGCTTAGGTCATGATCTCACAGTTCATGAGTTCAAGCCCCACAACGGGCTCTGTGCTGACAGCTCAGAGCCTGGAGCCTGCTTTGGATTCTGTGTCTCCCTCTCTCTGCCCTTCTCCCGCTCACCCTTTGTCTCTGTGTCTCAAAAATGAATAAACTTGCGGAAAAAAAGTCATTTCCTCAAGGCCCAAGTTGGAGTCTACTCTCACAGGTTCCCATGGTACCTTGGTCACTAATTCTTTCAATGACTCCTGTACTTGTAGCTCAGGGGTCACCAAACTAAAGCTCCTTGGCCAAATTAGGCCACTCCTGTTCACTTATATATTATCAGTATCTGATTTTGTACTTCAGTGTCAGATCTGGCCCTCTGTGGTTTGATAGCCCCTGTGCTAGGACAGGAACTATATGTTCCCCAGTGTGTGTGGCACAAGGCTCAGTAACTTACTCCCTGTGTTGCAGGGATTCTGATTCTGGTTACATGTTTCAGTTGTTTCTGCTCCTCTTTTGCCCTTTCCTTATTCCCCAAGGAAATGTGGAAAGAAAAGAGATAACTGATATTTTAAATTACTTAATATTAGTAATCATTGTTAACCATAATTTTTTTTAAGTTTATTTTGCAGGGAGGGGGGAGAGAACAAGCGGGGGAGGGGCAGAGAGAGACAGAGAGAGAGAGAGAGAGAGAGAGAATCCCAAACAAGCTCTGCACCATCACCGCAGAGCCTGACACAGGGTTGAACCCAGGAACCATGACATGATATCGCGACCTGGGCCGAGATCTAGCTTAACCGACTGAGCCACCCAGGCACCCCAACGATAATGCTTTTTATACTATGTATTTGAAAAGATCATAAGGCTGTTATTTTCTGTAAATGTGGTGTGCACGTTAAAATGATTTTAGGTAGAGCTAACCTTTTCTGTATTTTTTAAAGTAATCTCTGCACCCGACATGGGGCTTGAAATCATGATCCTGAGATCAAGAGTTGCATGCTCTACTGACTGAGCCAACTAGGCACCCCTAACCTTTTATTTTAACATCTTGATTTGATGCGATTAGGGTTTTTTTTAAGAGTTCTGAATTAAAAAGAACTTGTCATAAGTGAACTCTGTATACTTCATTGATTAAACTTTTAGGTTTTTGAATTTCAAATTGGGTAGTCCTAGGCTTTTGCTCATAACATACAGACTGCCTTATAGTTTAAACTCCACATCAGACTTGTGGGGCTATTCCCCAGACCATTAGGCCCTTTCAGACCTAAGCCTTTATTCATGTTGCCTTTTTCCAGATTATCTTCTTAACTCCTCTCAACTCAGGCATCACCTTTTCTGAGGCATTCTCTGACCTCT